CTCTTATCACGGGATCCCCCCACATGTGAGAAGCCTGAGGTCACCCCCATTGGCCACCTCTGCATTTTTTTGTTCTGATTTTAAATGAGTTGATACCGAATGTATGTTCTATACACAGAAGCTTCTAGTAGAGTTTTTTTTAGATGTTTTTTTTTAATTCTTGTCTCCTTGTGCCTCTACATTTCAGTATTGTTTCTTTAAAAAGAATATTTAGCAAGCCACAGAGTATTACTTTGAAACTGATTTTTTTAAAATATTTTAAACGTTTTGTTAAGTCTGTACGTTTTGTGGCGTCAATTCAATGTGTCTTTCCAAATGTTCTTATTGAGTTGTGTATCAACTAAGTTTTAATGTATACATCCTGCTCTATTATTGAATGCTCTGATTAACTTTTTTGAAAAAATGACATGACCTTTTTTCTAGCCAGCTTTATTGCTGCTGAGCTGTGAGCTCATTTGCAGACTGTGCCAAGGAAAAAAAGTGTGCTATTTTCTTTAGTTGTTCAGCACTGCCGTACAGGGTGTTTGGTTCTGTTGGGCTGGAGTGGAAGTAGGGTCTGCCTAAGGTGGATTAGGAAGGGGCATTCAAAGAGGATGTGGTTTACGGTTTCAGAAGGGTGGGCCAGGTGTCTACGTAAGGGGGAGTTGTGTGGAGTTTATTTTGTTCAGGTGGTAATTTAATAGAAGTGTGTGTCCTGTTCTTAGTTGGAAAATTGTATTGTTCTTTGCGGGGGAGGAAGTTAATACTGTCCAGTTTGTTAGGCATAGTCATTTCTTTGTACATGGCTCTGCCTGTGTTTCCTGATGCCCATTGGTTGAGCCACTCCTCTTTGTGATTGTTGACTAACATTGACCTCAGGGTGAGGTAGTCAACAGATCTATCTGGTTGTTCTATAGATAAACTTGCCTTTGATAGCTTATCTGCCTTTTCATTTCCCATGAGGCCAATGTATCCAGTGATTCACTGTAGCGTGATATTGATATTTCATTTTGATATCATCTGATGGATTATCAGAATTAGTGATGAAATGACCTACAGTATCTATAATAACAGCGATAGATTGATTTTAGGAGGCGTTGTGGCTGAGGGATAGAGAGCTTGGCTTCCGAAGAGAGGAGTCTCTGTGTCAAATCTCGACAAAAACTGTAATTTTGAATTTTGAGATTTTTAAGAATCCACACAACTCTTGGTATCTGACATGTGTCGGGCAAGTAAAGGTGGTTGATGGCTGTGTTGGCTACAAGACACCGTCGTGCATAAAAACAAGCCTTACACACTCTGCAAGATCTTAAGGTGTATTATTATGAAAGTAAGAAGAAAACCCTTAAAAATCCTTTTTGAAAAAAACAGTACCTCCTCTATACTTAATAACTTAACTAATGGATGTTGGATTAAAAAACATTGTAACATTTTTACCCTGGTTAAATCCTGGTTAAGTGAATGCATAGATCTACTACACTTTGTAATATTTCACTGATAGGCCTTTAGATCTAGATCTAGTTTAATTTATTAATACCTCATATTCGGAAATTCCCCGAACGTGATAGTACTTTCAATAACACAATAGTCCTTTCAAACCGATATTGGATCTAGACCTAGATCTAGTTATCTAGCCAAATTTAATTATTTTTTTTCCTCAAAAATTATAACGGTCAAACTAGAGTTTCCCCTTGTGGCAAACGAGCTTGTAATTCATTTCTCATCGCTATATGTCAATTGTTAAATTTCTAGAAAATCGTTATAGACCGTTTTTTGAGATCAGCGACAAGCTTCCACCTTCCCCCCAGCCACCCTCCATGAAGTTTTGACTTGAATAGAGGTATTGTACAAATATAATGTAAGTAGCTTGAACATGTACAGAGTTTTCCTGTAAGGCGTGTTTAGTAGAGTTACAAAACATATCACTTTTATTTGTACGATCCTTGAATGGACTGATACTTCTTATACGTATTCTAGATTTGTCTTGGACAGTTTTGTCTCTGACAGCACTGTTTTAACTTCTAAACTGTTTTACCTATTATAATCTTGTAACAATGTTACAATTGGATGTTTATGTGACAAAAATGTTTTCAAATTCAACAGATGAACAGACATGCTCATATTTGTATTCCATGCTGAAACATTGAACGTTTCTGACAAAAACAAATGCAGAAACTCAGATTGTTGCAAAAATAACTTTTTCATTAAGTACATAAAGTAATATTTGTATGGTGCATTGTTTGATGACTTTCATTAACACGAATAACATAAATTAGTTCTATGTGTATGTTTGGTTTTTAAAACATAGAATTACTATCCCAGTGCTGCAATCAATTGAAGAAATAACTAATTTTTTTTTTACAATGACACCGTTTACATAAAAGTTCAACAATAGTTGTACACAAGATTATACAGTTGTAAAAGTTACTTTTCTTTAAATTATTTTTCTTTTTGTTGTTGATGCTAGATGAATGTTCTTTTGCTTTCTGTTTTGATGCTAGATATTGGTTCTTTTGTACTGTTTTGATGCTAGATATTGGTTCTTTTGTACTGTTTTGATGCTAGATATTGGTTCTTTAGTACTGTTTTGATGCTAGATATTGGTTCTTTTGTACTATTTTGATGCTAGATGTAGGTTCTTTTGCACTGTTTTGATGCTAGATGTAGGTTCTTTTGCACTGTTTTGATGCTAGATGTAAGTTCTCTTGCACTCTGTTTTTTGATGCCAGATGAATGTTCTTTTGCTTTCTGTTTTGATGCTAGATATTGGTTCTTTTGTACTGTTTTGATGCTAGATATTGGTTCTTTGCACTGTTTTGATGCTAGATGTAGGTTCTTTTGCACTGTTTTGATGCTAGATGTAGGTTCTTTTGCACTGTTTTGATGCTAGATGTAGGTTCTTTTGCACCGTTTTGATGCTAGATGTAGGTTCTTTTGCACTGTTTTGATGCTAGATGTAGGTTCTTTTGCACTGTTTTGATGCTAGATATTGGTTCTTTTGTACAGTTTTGATGCTAGATATTGGTTCTTTTGTACTGTTTTGATGCTAGATGTAGGTTCTTTTTCACTGTTTTCATGCTAGATGTAGGTTCTTTTGCACTCTGTTGCTCAAAACAAAACCTTCTACTCAACTGTTCCTAATTATCATGCACTAGACACACAAAACACTTACTAGACACTTACTAGGTCCATACTAGACACTTACTAGGCCCAAACTAGACACTCACTAGACACTTACTAGGCCCATACTCAGGGCCGCCGCTACCTATTGTGCAATGTGTGCATTGCACGCAGGCGGCCGAATGTAAGGGGCGCCAAATCATTTCCAAGAATCATTTTTCTTTAAATTTTTGGTTTAATAATTTTTTTAAAAAAATTAAATATTTTTTTAAAATTCTACTGATTCCATTATCCTTTGAAAACTGGGGGGAGGGGGGGGGGGAGAGACGATATTTGTACACTAAGAAGTTAGTTTGGAAACTTAAGAAGAAAAACAAAGCGGCACGCGAGGGTTTCCCACGGGTTTTTCCATAAGCGCCGACTCTTTCCTGACCTTGAATTCTCGCGGGTTGTTTGTAATATTTGTTTCGAGTCGAATAGCCCGCCCTGTAAGTAGATCTAGTAGATCTACTAATTAGAATGTCAATTTTAAAAACATTGTCACATTGTATCTCGAATGGGGGGGGGGGGGGGGGGGGGGGGACTAACATCATGAAAAAAAGAGGTGTTATAGAGGGTGTGTGTGTGTTTCCTAGGCGGCGTTAAGAAGAGATTAAGCGATTGATTGGTGGTTATGCATTTAAGATGATGAAATTAGTATAATGCAAATGTAAAACGTCAGACAATCTTGAGACATGAAAGAGTATAGACGTTACTTTGTGGTAAGCTAGATTTCTTTAAAATATCAGTAAATTTCATTAATATTAGATCTCTATCTCAAATTAAATCTGTGAAAATTGTAATAACAATTATATTTTATTTTCACATAAGAAGTTTGTTCAAGTTATTTAAAGCTTACTTAGTAAAAATATAAAACGCCTTCATTGGTTCAGTTGTACTAGCTGTTTGTAGCGACAAGTCGAACGACCATCTAACAACAAGGAGAGGGGGCGGCGAAAACATGTTTTATTTTCAGTGTAATTTATTTGAATATTAGTAAAATTACATGTTCAAAAAATAAAATCTCTTAAGTAGAAGACGGTGTTTTATCTTCTAATAAGATCGTTTTAAATGTAGACCGCTTTATGCGAGGCGCTAGTGCAACAATATGGGTCCCAACGTTTTCGAGAAAACATTTTAAAACGTCTCCGCTAGTGCGATTCTTCTGGATTTTTTTTTGGGTCTCAGAATAGTCACATTACTTCCGCCTATTGCACTTTATAATAGTGACGACTTTTGTGTGACAAAAAACCTCCGCGCCAAGACGTCTTACTTAACACGAAGAATATTGTTAAAAAAGCTCACGTCCATTACAGACGTACGTACGCAATATGTAGGCCTACCTAGAATGTCCCTCGCATAATACTATTTTCCAGGGCTGCCTCTTTATTATTAGATTTAATATGGCCCTCGACTTTTTTTTTTAGGATGAATAGTGCGTTCTGAAAGAAAACACATTAATATTAGCCTTTTAAAAATTCTCTCTTCTTACTAAGAGAAGGCCAGAAGACGATTAGCGTCGGCGCCCGGAATCAAACCCTTTGCCGACTTGAGCGAAAACCTGCCACATCTTTGATTCTATCTCCGTGAAGAAACTTTTACAACGCTTACAATTTATGTAGGCAACACTATTCCGGAAAAAAATAACTGACCATAGACATATATATAGGTTTGTGAAACTGACTCATTTTAGTGAAATTTCATTACCTAAATTTGGATTCTATACATAGTGTTAAAAATATAAATGAAAAATAAAACCTAAAAAGTGTGCTATAATTAAAAACTAGTTTCCTTTCTTTTTCATTACTTTCTTTACAAAAAATGCAAAGTTAAAATTGAAAATAAAACATCTTAGAGGGAATGGGGATATGACAACGATGCGAATATGAAAAGAAAAAGGAATGGTACAAAAATGGATTTAAATCAAAGAGCGCTTTAGTTACAGTCACTTACAGTGTCCAGCTCAGTGTTAATTAATTTTTTTTCTAAAATAAAAAAAGGGGAGGGGGGCGGCATTTTTAAACTTCGCACACAGGCGGCCGCAACCCTCGCGGCGGCCCTGCCCATACTAGACACTCACTAGACACTAGGCCCATACTAGACACTCACTAGCCCCATACTAGACACTCACTAGACACTTTCTGAACATTCACTAGACACTCACTAAACATTCACTAGACACTCACTAGGCACTCTCTAGTCTCTCACTAGGCACATACTAGACACTAGGTTTACTTAAATAATCGCTAATCAGAAATCCATTCCATTGAAGGACTTGACGTCATTGTTGTCAATGATTTTGTTTATTGTCTTGCCACAACGTATTGAACGCATTGACTCTAACACATGCATTTATAAACATTTATAGAATTGTCAATTTGTATTCATTTCATCATTGCTATGTGTATGCCCAATGCAAAACCCTATTTGTTATTGTTGTGTGTGTACTTGTAAATAGGTCATCCTTATTTATGGTATTTTTTTTCTACAAAATAAACTTAACAGTTTTCTGTGCTTTCAATCTGCGTATCATTTAGAACTATATATTCTGTGCTCAAAATTATTCCCTAGACCTATAGCAATGTGGTTGATTGATTGAAGTAACTGATCTTTCAATGTTTTGTTTTGTTTTTGCTATTTGTTTTGTTCTCATGCACAAACATGCATTGCACAAAATGAAATATAGACTATTTAGTAAGTCAATTTTACCTGAAAAAATAAATGTGTTTAAAAATGATACCAAAAAAAAAAGATTATTATGGGTCGATTTCATTATTTTATTCAACATATTAATTGTCATGCGTCTGTACATGTTTTGGACATTCTGTCAAATTTTGCAATCAGTATGCAGACGTACTTTGGTATTGTATCCCTTAGATGTTTATGGTATATATTGATGTATAATATTGGTATTTTGTTTATTTGTTTGCTTAGTGAAATTATTTAATTGTCGTCTTACTGAAATGCTATACTGGTCTTTTAAAAAGCTTCCATCAAGAATATTAAATTAATTACTTTGAATTTAATTGTTTTATTTTCCTCTTTAAATCATTCTCTGTGTTGTTAATAGAGAAAGAGAGAAACGACATTAGTTAAAGGGAGAAAACTCAATAATTAATATTTGCTTTCAATGTTATTGCATTGTATCCCTTTAATGGGCCTACAAATTAATATTCAACACAAGGTCACAAAACACAGACACACACAAACACATACGTATATACCTACATACAACAACACGAACCAAAAAAAAAAATAACATTAAATATACAAAAATATTATAATTTTTTTTAAACAAAGAAATGTATACTAAACTATTAACTCCCTTTATCCCCAAAACGAGGGGTGTCAATTTTTCCGCCCACTAAGGCCATCTGTCATTGTAGACTAGAAACATGACGTTCCCATCAAGCTCCAGCGGAATGCCGCCTATGACAGCAAACTCAAATTGATAGGGTGTATGCATTACTTTGCTCACACGAGGTCATTTTGTTTTTCAGTGCAGTGACAGTACTTTGTTAGTTAGTGAGTCACATTTGATTTTGACAGCAGAAAAAAAAACATAATCTGGAAAGGTTAATTTTCAACAAGGCTAATTATTTTTGATCCTGAATGAGTATTGTAACTTCTAGTGCTGTGATACCCAAAATCCGGCCCGCGGGCCAGATCGTGGCTCCATCAAGCCCGCCGAAACGTCGGCACAAAGTGTGGAAATCTCCCTTCCCAAAACAAAAGGTTGAAAAAAGGAATCTTTACCTACGTTTGGGCCCTCACTTTTTCTCCGATGGATTGGTATCATGATATTATGATCTTGAACATGTGTGTGTTTATGCATTGGAACTCTGAATGTAGAATCTACCACGAAAAGTGAAACCTATCTTTACCTTTTTTTGTTGAACATGATAATAAGCCAACATATTTATTTTATAAAGAAAGTGTGGCTTTTTAATAAAACGACAACATAAAAACGGCATTATAAAATAAATATGGCGGCATTATTGGTTTGAGCCGTGAATAAAAGACGGTTAAACTAAAAGCCTAGAGATTGGAGGATTCATGTGAAAATCTACCATAAAGAGATAAAAAAAGAGGAGTCGGTTGTAATGATATCTACACTGTTTGCTCACATTTTAAGTAGAGAAATGAAGCTGTTTTCTGACGCGTAAAAAAATATGTCAAATAACCTATTAATTAAGTATTAAATCCACAGGTTTCTACCAAAATAGTTTCAGAACAATTTCATTTCGTTTTTGAAACTTTTCGGTCATGTGAGGGTCGGAAATTAAAACGGCCCGCGGGTTGAATTAGGTCAGGCATCACTGGTCTAATACAATAGCTTATCCTTACAACTGTACTTCAGTGGAAGCACCAAAAGTTAGCCTACTACCTAGAAGAAGTGAATGGATTTGAAGGTGCAAAAAAATTGGCTAGAATTCTGTTACTCAGGATCCAGGGAGGTGCACGTGCACGACTTTGCACCCTCCTGCGCGCGACGCCCATGTAAGATGATCTGCGACAAGAACCTTTTTTGCGTTGCTTTTTTCTTTCAAAATTTCGGTTTGATGTGATTTACGTTATTTAGATATTCGTCTAAACATTCCACAGGACTTCCTGGGAGGGGAAGTAAATTGACGTAGAATTTATAACAATGGAAGATTCGAATAACTTCTGCTTGCTTTTTTAAAATGCAGAAAACCTTAAACCATTTCTAGAACAAACATAATACATATATAATAAAACAAAATTTATATCACATGCACTAAAATTATGACGTAGTTAGACACTATCATTCTTTAATGATCAAATAAATATAATAAGATTTTAATGTATCTGTAGTTGATGTCTTTTCAATATGCTTTTTTTGGAAAAATTATATACCAACTAAAACTAGTTACAAGTAGAAATACAATACATTACGTCTGCAGCTTTCGCTGCATTGCAAAACCAATTTTAACGAGGGCAAAAAAAAAGCATCTTATATAGCAAGCAAGTTGTGATCCGGATCGAATGGTAATGCCCAGGCCGATTTTGACACCCAGTCCGCCCCTGCACATCACAAATAGAATTTGAAACAGGATCACAATTTCATTTGGGACCCACAATGACCAGCTGACCACGGTGGTGGGGGGTGGGCATTTTGAAAACGGCGCCAACCATTTTCCTAAAAATTTGACAGCTTATATATTTGTTTGTGGGAAATAACTATCTAATAGGCCATAAAATGAAAAATCTGGCTTGACAGACAATCATCTTAAAATCAACTATTGATTTACTTTTTTTTTCAAGCGGGAATCCCCGCACTCAACGCAAATGTTTCTTGTTTTCAGTAAAGATATAACTCCTATACTCTTAATTGAGCAATTCTTGTATGTTTGTATGTTATGTAAGTGTATATATATATTGGCCTCATTCAGCCGCATAACTACTATGGTTCATCTCGAACACCTTTTCATAAGACTGTGGAGACTTATTTTGTAGAGACAATCCCATTTACATATATTGCAGGTCGCTTTGGTGGTAGAGGAGCTGGTCATTTTTCGTATGGCACGCGTTTCTTCAAGTGCTGAGGCCCATGTTTTCCTGCCTACATTTTCGCACTGTCCATAGCTTTCTTGGTCATCATCTCTCTCCAACTAGTGCGGTCTAGGGCCATGTCTTTCCAATGGTCAGTATCAATATATATATATAATATTTCGTAAACGGCTCTAGCGATTTTCTTTAAAATTTCAAGGTATTTATATATAAAAATAAATGAGAAAAAAAAATCTCAACTCATTGGCCAATAGGGAAAACTCGAGGTCGACCGTTATATCGGTTTAAAAATGTCTCATTATCGAAAAATTAATTTTGGCTAGAATATTTTATGAATGAAAATTTTCCATGACGTCAAACAGAAAAAAACACCGCTTACGTCACTAGGCTTACAGCAGTAAATCCAAAATATTTCTTTGCAAACATTAACAACTTTTACTGAATCAATAGACCTAATTAAACATTTGCGCACCATCTTATTGTAGCCTCTATTAGCTTAGTCAACAAAGTAAAAGTCATCTACACTGCTCTCCTCAAAGTGTAAACAATTAATAAAAACTCGCAAAACACAATAACCAAATATACCTCTGCAAATTGTATTTCATTTTTCTTCTTCATTTTCATAATAAATTAATCTACTAAGTGTTTTTAAGAGTCTGTGCATTATTGAAAAAAAAAAAAGTTATGAATATTCATGAATCACATTGTAATAATTGAATAATATTTTATGGTGCAACTTTCATGCCTAGCATTAACAAAGGGCTAAAAATACACTGGTACGACAAAGTAGAAAATAACCAAACTGTGGGAGATGAGTGGACAGAAAAATGTAGAGGTGCAGATCTTAGAGAGGAAGTGGAGATGGATTGGTTACATCCTTAGAAAAGATACCAGCAACAAAGCTAGACAGGCCTTAGAGTGGAACCCCCAGGGAACAAGACACAGAGGAAGACAAAAAGAACATGGCGACGCAGTATACTAGAAGAAGCCGAGAGGACAGGAAAGAGCTGGGAAACCATCGAAAAACTAGCAAGAGACCCTGGAGAGTGGCATGTTTTGGCTGAGGCCCTATGTTCCATGAGAAACCCAGAGGAATGATGATGATGATGATGAATAAGAAAGGGCTACGGTCCACTCTCTATGGTGAGGGAGGGGGTTGTCTGGAAGCAGGTTTCCTTGATGTATTTATACAAGTCGAGTCAGATATATATTGTTACGATCTTCTCTATCAGGCCTTCTGCAAACACTGCCAAACAACACAACAGCACATCTAACACAAGAACTTGACAACAAGAGCTTCAATAAACAATGTGGCGGTTTATTAACAAATACATCAACAACAGCCAATGAACACAATTGGCTAAACTAACTTCAAATGCTTTGCTACACAACAGAACTGCCTAATCACTACAAGTCTCTCTAGCTCGTACAGCTACATTTTCGATGACTCACTTTGTAGCACACTGCTTGCTGTCCTGGACTCTACTGTCCTTTCTAATACACTGTCTCTCGTCAGTGAAGACTTTCTGGTCACATGACCAAAACATTGGTCATATTGCGTGCATTAGTAGTAATGTCTCTTGTTCAACAGCCCTTGACATGTGTGATTGGCCTGAATCATCTAGGAATTGGTTTTCCGTGCTGCCTTTGGGCGCTCAGTCGAGTCGGGTGTCGAACATCGAGCCCCCTTTTAGCCAAGCCAAGTTCAAGCGCACTTGGCCTCTCGACCACGCTTCCCACAGATGATTAAGGAGGAGTACAGTATTTTATGTGGCTACTCAGCACCAGCTGCGACCCACATAGTTTGCCACATCGAACAAAAACATAACCATTATCTGCCGGTTTAGATTCTCCTTTCGCCGTCTACGTCTGTCCTTTGCAGTGGATTTTCTTTTGTCTATCCTGAGGCCTATAAAAAAAAATCTCCAGCTATCTCGTTCTGAAGCCGCCTGCCTGCAGTCAGATTTATGTCTGTTAAAGCAAGTTGATGCCTAAGCTGGTCTTTAAAGCGTTTCCGTGGGACATCTGTTACGTCTACCACCTTTCAGCTCACAAAAAAGACTGCCTTTTGCAAACGCTAGACCACCCATACGGGATAGGGCTTTCTTCAGCGTAACTGTCGGACCATATGAAGCCCCTCTATACTGTCCATACCGGCGTGTTCTGTATGGGGACATAAAAGTCTTTATTTTCTAATCGCCACGTACATTGACATTTAGAACTAAAAGAACATGAAAGCAGCTTTTCGAATTGGGAGTCATTACCCGATCCAAAATAAGTAAATATATTTCCTCAAAAAAGTATTGAAACGAGCGAGGCTCAGTCACCTGGTACTTAATAAATAAACGCACATGAATAGTTTGCGCACAGTCTTTTATAAAAGTTCCAGTCCATATGTCCTTTTGAAATCATTAGATATACTGTTAATAGAAGGATTTAATAGTGCAAGGCTCACTAGAATGACTACTTGCAAGAATCAAGCATTACCAA